TTGTTTGTGTTGTTGTAGTTGGGGATAATTTTTTGTCGTTGTTTGTTCTAGCAATGCCTTCTTTTTCAGAGCGTTTTTCAAAATCTAGAAAAATAAAATTTGAATAATGATGATGACGATAGCCGTCATAATCATGCCCCTTATCACCCTCATCATCAACAACAACAACATCATCCTCAACAACAACACCAACAACATCATCATTATCACCAACCTTCGATAATCTTAAGAGCCTTAGTTATATGATGAAGTTAGAGCATCATCATACAATCATCAACCTCATCACGGGGAACAACGTCATCATCATCATCATCAACAACATCATCATCAACACCGACCTTCAATAATCTTGAGGGTTTTAGAGTAGATGCTAGAACATTCCATATACTGACCAACTTTGAAGAGGTCGTTGGCCTTTGATTTCATCACCATCAGCTCATCATACATGTCAGCAGGTAGATAGGATGTTGATGGTGATGATGATGATAGTACTGGTAACGATGATGATGGATGTAGTGATGGTACCGATGTAGGTGATGATGATGATGATGTTGTCGTTGATGATGATGATGTTGTCGTTGATAATGATGTTGTTGATGATGATGATGTTGATGATGATAATGATGTTACACTTTGCTCTGGTGGAAAATGTGATGATGATGATGATGATGATGATGATGTTGTCGCTGATGATGATGTTGTTGTTGTTGATGATGTTGATGATGATAATGATGTTACACTTTGCTCTGGTGGAAAATGTGATGATGATGACGATGATTGCAAAGTTGATGTCGATAATGATGCTGATTGCCGACGACCTGACTGGCAATCTTCACAGTCCCCATCAACACCGGAAACTGCACTCACATTCGCGTCGGCATCAACATTCATCACTTTTTTATCATCATCATCACCATCGTCAGAATGATGATGATGTTGTTGTTGATGATGATGTTGTTGTTGATTATAGTCGCTACCGTCATCAGTATCATTTTTATCATCGTCCTTATTAATAACATCTTCTTCATCATTATAAACTCTATCAGATTTAGTTGGAATAATTTTTTCGGTGCTATTATTATTATTATTATCATTATTATTATTATCATCATTAATATTATTATTATTACTATTATTATCATCATTAATATTATTATTATTACTATTATTATCAGCATCATTATCACCATCACCGCCAATTTCTTCAATTAGCAATCGTCGACCAATGACTTTTTGCTCTTTCAAAATATCGTTAAGCTCTTTTAGTAACGCCTTAGTTGTGGTTGTATTTATCATCATTATTTTAAAAAAGAAAACATTTAAAAACGGCGCTATATAAATGTTCCTCTTATTATTATTTTTATTCTTATTATTATTAAAAATATAAACAAAAACACCAATAACATCAACAACAAAATCAACAACAACAACAACGCACAAGAGCTTGCTTATTGGTTGGTTCTTTTTGCAAGACAAACTGGACATCAGTTTTGGCATGTACATACTGGGTCAGACCTTTGTAAGCTACAGCCCTTCGAAGGTACGCTATATAGAGGTTTGATTGGCAGGTTGGTTGATTGATTGATTGATTTATAGGTTGATTGGCAAGTTGGTTGATTGATTGATTGATTGATTTATAGGTTGATTGGTTTTTCAAGTTGATTGGTAAATTGTTTGTGTTATAATTGATTGATTGACGTGTTAGTGAGAATTAATTAGGAACCTTTCAAATTGGATGGTTCCAATTCGAGGACAGTGCAACAGTCATCTAAAGCTGCATTCCATTTCTTCAATTTGATGTCTACAAAATTATGAACCAGGTAAACCAACCAACCAACCAACCAACCAACCAACCAACCAACCAACCAGCCAACCGACCGACCGACCAACCAACCAACCAACCAACCAACCAACCAGCCAGCCAGCCAACCAACCAACCAATCAACCAACCAAACAACCAACCGACCGACCGACCAACCAATCAATCAATACGAACACGTTTGAGCTCTGTTATTGTAAGCCGGAACATTATCTAATAACGAGATGCTCCTACTGTAGTATGTTACTGCCTCGTCATAATCAGCTGATTTGAAGGCCTATGATGATGATGATGATGATGATGATGATGATAATGCTGATGATGATGCTGATTGTTATGATGATGATGATGAATAAGTAAACTAATTGATGATGATGATGATGATGTGTGGTGATGATGATGATGATGGTGATGATGATATTAGTGATGATTGATGATAATAATATAAAGATGACAAAACTAAAAACACCTGATGAATATGTAGACTAAATGATGATGATGGTGATGATGATGATGTGTGGTGATGGTGATGATGATGAAGTGCGAGACAAATTCATTCATTCATTCACCTCATTTCCTTTATTCTTCTCTCGTTCGGCTCTCAATTTTTTCAATTCGTATGATAACCCTTGAATTTGTTAGACAGAAATTAAAGCTCTGATACTAAATCAATGTAACTTGTATGCAGTTTTAATGTAAAAGAAATTATTAAATATACATTAGAATGAATGAATGAATGAATGAATGAATAAATCAATCAGTCAATTAATCAATCAACCTTGATTTTCAACTGTGAAATGAATGAATGAATGAACGAATGAATGAATCATCAATCAATCAATCAGTCAATCAATCAATCAATCAATCAGTCAATCAACCTTGATTTTCAACTTTATCATCCAATGGTATCCGTTCTTTCTCTCTAGGACTCTTAGGATTGGCTGATGAGTTTTCATCAACTTTCTCTAGCTCGGCCTCAATGTTGAACCTTTAATTTGATTGTATGGTTATTCATCTAAACTTTATACAACCATTCAACCATAAATTAATTAATTAACTAATTAATTAATTAATTAATTAATTCATTCATTCACTCACCCATCCAATCAACCAACTAACTTATCCCATTCTCTATAGTCTCTTGGTTTAACTCTTCTCTTATCACTAATCTTGACACCTTCTGATTTTGACTATAAAGATACATAATTAAATAAATGAACTAACAAAAAAACGAACGAATGAACAAACGAACGAATGAATGAATTAGTTAATTAGTAAAAAAACAAATGAATGGATGAATGAATGAATTAGTTGATTAATGAAAAAACGAATGAATGAATGAATAAATGAATGAATGAATGAACAACAAAACCAACTAACAAATTAAATGCCACTAACATTATCAACAGACACATTGAGTGCCAAACCTCTGACAGGCGGTAAGGAATCAAATAAGCTGCCTTCATCGTCGACTCCCTGCTTCGAATGCGAGCCCGGCTCCTTACCTCTCATCTCCTCCTCCCAACTCTATCGTTGAGTAAAAATTGTGGGAATGTAATTAAAACCAAAAAAGAGCAATTTGACAATACAATAAACTAGAAGACAGGCTTGGGTAAGATGAAAAATTGAAGTGATTGAAAGGGAAGAAGAAACAAACAAGCAAAACAAAACAAAACAAAACAGAGCAAAACAAAACAAAACAAAGCAAAACAAAATAAAAACAGAGCAAAACAAAACAAACAAAACCGAGCAAAACAAGACAAAAAACAAAGACAAAACAAAAACAAGCAAATACTTTGATATCATCGTCATACTTCTCCCACTCATCACTGTCCATGTTGGATTTTGTTAACAACTGGCCTGGTTTTCTCAACAATTTGCTGAGTTTTCAAAAAAGTGAACTGATTCTATTAATTACAATTAATTAATACAATTAAAATTATAAATGATTCTGAATAACTTTATAAACCATGGATGAATATGCCAATGCATTAAGTTATATATTAAAAATTGTGCTAGATAACATTTTCTATATATACAACAAACTAAAATAGGTGTGTCTCTGTCTGTGTATTACAACATTCATGTGTGTGTGTGTGTGTGTGTGTGTGTGTGTGTGTGTGTGTGTGTGTGTGTGTATTGTGTGTGTGATACAATGTTACAATATGCAATGAAAAAAATTTCAATGTATAACTTTTTTGGGTCAAGTTCTTTCAGCTGGTCTTCAGCTAGTTTTTCTAGGTCAGGGTAAACTCCTTCATAACCCGACCTGAATAAAGGATAGAAATAATAGTAAGAGTATATAGTTAATATTATATAACTATATAGTAAACTTTTATAACACATTATTAATAATTAATACAATTAATGATATATCGCATAAAAACATTTTAATGTAAGAAAATTTTTTTAAATTTTCAAAAATTTATAAACTTATATATGTTATAGTATAGTTTTTTTCATAGTATATATATATATATAGTAAACTTTCACTTACAAACACACACACACACATACACATATATATATATAATTATATATATATATTTATATATTATAACACCTTAGAACTTTTATAATTTTTTGTAGTTCTATGATATCTTTGCAGGCCGCTATGTACTTGTGATCCAGGTGGCCAATGGGGACATCGTACTTTGTCAGCTGGTTCTGGTACATCTCCATCTTTATGCTAGGTTATTTTTTTTTTTAGCTTAATTAGTTTAGACTCTAAACTTTAGAGTCATATTTTACTTATCTTATTTAGGTAAAAATGAAAAATAAATAATTTTATCTTATTATGAATTTAATTATAAACTTTTAAAAAGTTTTCAGATTTAAAAAAAAATTGCGAGTGGTTTTTGCCTGTACATTTAATTAATTAAATTTTAAAACCCCCCATCACCACATCCTCCAACTTTTCTGTTTGAAACTTTTCTTTTAATTTAAGTTTTTAGGAGAATATTAAAAATAAATTTCTCAAAGCAAATTATTTAAAAAAGTTATTAAAATGACAATATTGTGAGTTTGCTAACCTTTCAAACTCAAATTAAGATAGCAAAACACGCGAAAAGTGAAGCAAAATTCATCCACGAACCATTAGCAAAGAAATAAAAGTTTACTTTTAGCAAGCCTAATACATTGCCATGGTGATTAAACAAAACCTGAAAAAGATCTGCCATTACACTCAATATAATTAAAAGCCACATAAAATATCATTTTTGTTAAATATTGCTAAAATACTTTTAAAAAAGTCAGTATTAACTGATCAAATTGTAAATATGTTCTTAAGTATTCTTAATGTTCTCGAAATAGAATCATTTTATAAAGTTTAATCATTCTCATATTTTATATACTTTGTTTACGTCACACGTTGTTTTTACGTCACGTATTATGTACGTAATAAACGCTTTGTACTTATGTTCTATGGAATTTTTTTCATTTTATTTCAATAAAACTTTTAATCTAATTTAAAGTTTAAAATAACGATTTGACTTATTTGACATCTATCTTAATTGATTATTTTCAGCCATTCATTTTTACCTGCCAAACTTTTAGTACAAGCTCATTGAGAATTTTAATTAGAATTTGCCCACAAAATTCTTTTCATGAAGCAAAACCCGCCTAGATAACGATAGCAGATTTGATATATTATAAAAGTGGGGATTAGCCAAGATATAATCTCAGACATGACTTCAGAGAATTCTGAAAACTCTCTGAAAGATGATCTAGAACGTTCGAACGACGGCAGCGAAACTCGACACGAGGGCTTCACAGACGACCACAACAAAGAGGACTACAAAAATGATGGCACTGCTAGCAGCGACAACAAAAACAGCTGCAACAACAACCGCAGCGACGATGTCAACAACGACGACAACGATGATGTTGACAATGGTTGCGAATATGAAACTTATCTTCTCAACAATAGCGGTAAGTCAATTGAGGTATTGTTTAATTTAAATAATCATGATATTAATGAAAATAATAAGACGTAGAGCAATTATAATGTTAAGGATAGTATCCTAACACCAGTAGCAACGTCGTCATTAGCACACAACAATTAAACAGCATACCATTAATAACATATTTTAAACTTCCTATGACAATATTGAAGCAGCCACACGGGCCACACCATCTCAAGACGATCCCCAATTGATACCACGTGGCTACCGGGGCGGACCAGCTCAATTTGCCGGAACCGAACTCAGAATGGATGGAATGAGGATGAAAATGAATGAAGACATACAGGATATCCGGTTCGCGCCATCTTCGTCGCCACAACGAGACAACGCCTACAACGTAAAGTTTTGTGGGGGTGGTTGCGGGTCTAACAGCTGCAGGCCAGTGTCCGGTGTTAGGGCGGTTCAACCATTGGGTGGCGCTAATGATTTTGAGGTAGGAATTAATTTTTTTTATAGATTATAATGTAATAATGATAATTAATTCAAAAGTTTACAAACTATTTTGAAAATTCGAAATAATGGGGTTGATATTTTCAGATATGTTTTTACAATTCTGTCAAGTATTTCTCAGAAGTATCAACCGCAAACACAACGTATTTGCATGTGATGAGCGGGTATTTCTTCACATTCGAATCCAACCACTCCACTGCAGCAGCAGCAGCACATTAATTATTACTTCATATTTGGTTAAAATTTGTAATTTTTTTTAGTAAAAAAGGAGATAGAACATAAAAGAATGAAAGATTAAAAATCAATATCAAGCTAAACTTATAGCTTACATTTACGCTTGGATTGTGAAAGGCTTGGGTTGTTCTATCATGTTTCTATTAAAATAACTCCATAGAGGCAAACAGTGGATCAATCAAACTACAATCAGAATAATATCAACCAAATCTATGACGGCCAATCACGTGGCCCAAACCAAAACTGCTATCGCTATGGCACCGACTTCGACCTTCTCAGTCGCTATGGCAATGGTCTGGACTCTTCTATAGCACCACGTGATCTCCGGGGAAAACTGGACAGATGTGCTGTCGGAACTTCGAAGGATGATCCATTGCCGGCCAATTCAAAAATGGCGGATTTAGACGGTGTGTTTTCGTTGCAGTGTTTACAACAAGTCTGCTGTTGGTATTATTGCTGTTTTGTTTATATTGTTGTTTATGACTGTTATCAATGATTAATCCGTGTTTATTTAGGACAATTGTTAACGCTATTATTGCTATTTGTGGATTAATTTTAATCTTACCATTCAATTCGATTATTTCTGGCTTCGGACGATGCATAATAACAATAAAATTATTTAGGGTAGAATGAGCTAGGAGTACATTAAATGAAATAACTTTTTAAATTTTATTTTGTGAAAAAATCGGTTAAATGTTCTATTCTACAAATTTTGAATGAGATCAATCAAACGCGATAACTCATTTATTCTTAATTCAATAGGATCAAAATAGTTGTATTATTTAAAAGATTAACTTAATTTGAATATATGCCACTAGGACTAACAAAATCAGCTGATAATGTAAAAGAAGCAAGTGAAGATCCGGAACAACAAAAACTAAAACTACCTGTACCTAACACCATATTTGGTTCCATTCCCCGCCCGGCGTTTTTGGCTTCTATATTTGGTAGTAGTAGCAGTAGCAACAGAGACAACAACAATGATTCTGCCAATAAAAACGAAAACAAAAATAATTCTGATGAAAAGAATAAAGAGGAATGTAAGGCCAACAAGAAAAGAAAGCGCAAGTCAAGCTCATCCTCCAGCAAGGGCTTAACTAAAAAATCGTTAAAGGCCAAAAAAAGTGCATCAAAAATTAAAACTAAGCCACAAGCCGCTCCTCGCAGGTCTTCCAGAATAAAAGCGAAAACAGAAAAAAAACTGCAGAAAGAGGAGGATGATGACGGAATAAGATATAGATTAAATAAACCAAGTTCTAAGACACTGCAGCGCCCAAAATCGACCAAAATCAAAATTTCTAACAAAAAAAGCACTTGTAGTAAAGCAAAGGTGGGTGAAAAGATAAAATCAGTAACAAAAGTCAACAAAGTTACAAAAACAAAAGCTACCGCGAAACAGTGCAAATCGAAAAAATCACCCATGAGAAAGAGAAAACGTAGCTCCATAAGTAGCTCTAAAGGTAACGCAAGCGTCAGTTTTACAAAACACAGAGCTAAAAAACAAAAATTAGCTGATTCTGCTAAAGATTGCTGCTGCCGTGGACACGTATGTTACAGAAAAGATAGTGAATTGAAAAGTAAGCCAAGCATTAAAAAAAAATCTGCTGCTAGTACTGGCAAGAAATGTAACAAATCTACAAATAATACACCAAACATTTTTGTTGCCAATTTAAAAAAGAGCGTCATTGACGACGATGATAAAATAAGATACCGTTTGGCACGCGTTCCACGTTCACAGACAAATGCGAACGTTTCCAACAAAAAATCCCAGAGCAAAATAGTTAAACACTCTGCTCCTAAATCAGCAGTTAAACAAAAAGGAAGCAAAACGGTATCAGTTTCAAAAAATGTCTCAACTATGAAACAGCCAGCTAAAAGCAAAGCACGTTCAGCCTTAAAGAGCAAGACAAAGACGAGTGCAATGAAATCAACTAGCCAAGTTGCAAGAATTTCGAAAAAAGCCAGCTCTGCCGTTAAAACTGAGAATGCTGAAAAAAATACAGCTTATAAAAGAAAAAATTTCTTAACTGTATCGGATAATAACAAAACAAGTTCGTCAGCGAAAAAGAAGAAATTGGATGAGAAGTCGAAAAGTAAAAACGGCAGCGATCGAAATGTATGTAACGTAAAGAGCGGTGCTTTAAATGCAATTAACGCTGGCTCAAATACAAACAATAACGCTAAAATTTTTAAAATTCTTAAAAATAAAGTTGACTCGGTGGGTCGTAATCCTAAAAAAGTTACAAAACTTCCATTAACATATCAAACTCGCCTTAACAAACCAGTAATCAAGCAACCCACCAGGCAAATATCAAAAAGATCACAAAAAAGGCAGCCTACTAAATCGAAAAGTGCAGCAAAAACAAATGATAAAATATTTCCCAGAAGAGCCAGCAAAAAAAGTCGTTCAACTGCCACCTCAAGCAAAGTTGCAAAAAGATCAAATTCAGTATCGATGAGCTCTAAGTCGAGTAAAAAAAGCAAACTGGTTAAAGATAGCGCGGCTGGGTCGGGTTTGGTTGTTAAAAGAGGCGTTAAAGGTACAACGGGCCGTGCCAAAAGGGAAAACAAATCAGCAATCTTAACTGCTAAAAAAAGTCAGAGCGGTCAAGCCAAGCCGAAAAAGTCAAGCAAAAGTGGTTCTAAAATTATTATCCGTTCAACAACAAAAAAAGAAACTTTTACAAAATCGAAAAGTCAAAATGGTAGGAGCAAAACCACTAGCTCCAAAGTTTGCGCTTCGAAAGCAAAAAAAGAAACTGTTAAAAAAGATCTGAAGCGTAAAAAGGTTTCTAGTTTGACCAGAAGTGCCAAAAAATCAAAATCGAAGAAACGTCCATCTCCGTCAGCTACGAAGAAAGAGAAAATTGTGAAACGCAAAATCAGTCCTAGCAAAAGTCCCTGGTAACTTCAAATTATTAAATTTTAATTTCACATAAAAATCTGAATCATTCTTATTTGGTGCCTGAGAAACACATTCATAAATATTCATTAATATTCATTGATTTTATGACTTATTTTTCTGATATGTCTGATAATTTACATTAAAATTAATTGATTCTTGTAAATTAAAACACAGCCCTGCAAAGCGAGCTCGCAAATCGAGGGAAGATGTTGTTGAGACGAGCAACGAGAGCCATTCATCTACAACATCGAACGATCCTTTGGCTGCCGGTGATAAAAACAGCTCCAACAGCAAAACCAACAACGACGACAAAAAAGATGCGAAAACAAAAGAAAATGAATCAAAAGATCAACCCGGTTGTAGTTTCGATTGCCTCAGTCACCGCCCCAGATCGACAATCAGACTTGAGTCGCTAGTGAAGAAGGCAAAATTGATCGTACCTTCAGTAGAAGAAGCTACAAAAGGCGGCAAACCAAGAATGGTACCCACAATGGATGATAAAGAAGGAGAAGACAGGCAAAAATCGAGAACGACAGCAGCAAAAATCAGAGGCACTACTAGCAAGAGTAGCGCTTCGTCAAAAACAGCTAAAACTGATAGTAAAGTAAAAACTATTGCCTCCAAAAAATCCGCTGCAGTGGTCAAACCAAAAAAGATTGCAACAGTCAAGGGTAGAGATAATTCAGCAGCCAAACCGAAGTCAGCAGCTAAGAAGCAAGTAAAAACTGCTGCCGTTAAAAAGTCCGGTGCAAAAACTGTCGCCAGGGCTGCTAAGATCTCCAAAAGAAAGGTATCATAATCTTCAACATTGACGTTGTCGTCTTCATCATCATCATTATCATTGCCCTCGAATGTAATCAAGAAACAACTTCTATTTTAAGGTGCATTTTAAGAGGGCCACTTGCTTGCACCGGGTTAGTTGATTGCTGGCTGCCGATTGGATAGTTTGATTTGTAGCTGATTGCTGATTGGCTGGTTGGTTGGTTTGCATGTCCGTTATTTGATTCGAGGATTTTGAATGGTGGTGTATTTTAATTGGCTAGTTGAATTGGCTGAGATTGTATAAAAGATTATGATTCGAGGTGAAATTATAGCTAAATTCATTAATAATTACGTCATATTAAATCGTAATACACTTTTATTTTTATTTAATTTAATAATAAATTAATTTCAAAATTATTTTATCAGTATGTCCGAGCAAACTAAGCAAAAGTCGACCGAACATTAAAAATTTCAAAGGCAATAATGATGATGACGACGACGACGGCGGTGCTGATGATAATGATGACAATAAAAAATGTTTATTTTATTTTGGAAAATTAATAATTGCATTGAAAATAACATTTCCATCTTTCAAACTTGTTACAAATGATTCAGATGCTATTAATTTTTTTTTTGAAAGAAAAAATCTTTTAATCTGTCGATCAATCAGGCCAAATTCATCAATTAATTCATCAATCAATTCATCGATCAATTTTATTTGATAAAAATTAAATTTATAAAAAATAATACAAAAACTAATAATAAATACAAAGAGAAAATATGAACAACGACGACGATAAGGCGTGACGGTGTAATGGTTATATAGGTGCCAGAATACAAAGAGTACGTGGAATGTTCGTGGCGCATGGTTTACGAACGTACCCATGTACGCTTCGTGTCTTGTTTTGACATTTAAATTAAAAAAATAAGTTAAGATTAGTTAAGAAAATTAAGTAACATTTGTTTTAAAATAAGTTAAAAATAGCTTTAGGGAGGGAAAAAAAATCCGTCGTGAATTTGCTAAGTGTGATAGAGATTACAATTTTATTCTGGAATCATTACAAAGTGACACTGGTGATAAGAAACTCCTAAGATGGATTAGGAAAATGGCAGCCTAATCCTTTTCTTGTTCCTGTTTCGCCGATGATGGTGATTCAGCCCGAAAACGTACCCACCTCCAATCTGATCATACATGTCCTCACTAGGCGAGTTGTGCGCGTCCAGCTTTCGTTCGTTTAGTTTCAGTCTTTCGTTCTCGATTCGGTTTTGCATTTTTGAGTCGTAGAGCGTGTCCACATAGTCGAATAGTATGCTGCCGAGCTGGCGTTTGTGTCGCTTTTGTTGGAGCTGCTGGAGCTGCTGTCGTCGGCATAGCTGCTGTTGCTGTTGAAGTTGATACTGACGTTGTCGTTGTTGTTGAAGTTGATACTGACGTTGTTGTTGTTGAAGTTGATACTGACGTTGTTGTTGTTGTTGAAGTTGTTTTTGTCGTTGTTGATATTTTTGTTGTTGTTGCTGTTGTCGTTGTATTGTTGCTGTTGTTGACGTGTCTCTGTTTTTTGAGAACTCTTTCTAAATGTTTGATCTTTTGTCTTTGTTGCATTCTTTGCTTATGCAACTGTNTCCGCCTCTCTTCTATTGGCAGTTGAGATCCGTTATCAACGTGACGTTTTTGTGGCTGCTGTGGCTGCGGCTGTGGCTGCTGATGTTGTAGTTGTTGATGTTGTGGTTGTTGTTGTTGTTGATGTTTTCGTCGTTGCTGTTTTTGTTGATTCATGTTGCACTTGTTTTTTAAATATTTATCATCGGCTTTAGAAATTTTACCATCGTCTATCACGTCACTTCTAGTATCTTTATTAGTATCGTCATCACCGTTATCATTATCATAGTCATTATTATTATTATTATTATTATTATTTTTATAAATATTATGATGATGATTATTATTATTATTGTTATAACTTTTGGCACGATCATCATCCTTGTTGATAAATGTCTCCATATGTCTCTTATTTAAACTGTGGAAATCTGTAATACTATCATTATCAATATTATTATTGTTGTTGTTGTTGTTGTTGTTGTTGTTGTTGTTGTAGGTATAAACCACACTTCTGTCGTTATTACTGTTGCCAACGTCCTTATTATTGTTGCTATTGTTTTTTGAATGTTTGACGGTATTGTAATAATGGTAATTGATGTCAGAATGATCTTTACCATTATTATTGTTGTTGTTATATTTATTGTTATTTTTATTATTATGATTGTGATTATTGTTATTATTATTATCATTATTATGATTATTGCTGTGCAAAGTCACGTGGTGTTTCTCTTTGCCTATCAGAATGCCATTTTCATTGTATATCACCTTGTATATTATTTTATCAAGGATACTATCATTATCACTACTACTACTACTACTACTACCATTAGTAATTATAATATTTTTATTATTATTATTATTCATAATTTTATTATTATTATTATTATTTTTGTTATTATTATGATTATTGACATTTTTGTCGCTGCCATTTTGCCCGCTAATCAACTCATCGTCGTTGAAGTGGAATATTTTTTTCAGTTCATGTTCCCAATCAAAATAATCGCTATCACTGTTGTCAATGTTGTTGTTGTTATTGTTGCTGCCGCTGCTGCTGCCGCTGTTGCTGCCGCCGCTTCTGCTGCTGCCGCCGCTTCTGCTGCTGCCGTTGGGGTATATTGTCTTAAATTTTGGTGAGTGAAGTTCTAGCGGATGATGTTGTTCCAACGTTAAAAATATCTCTAGGACGGCCACGGCTGTTGTTGGTGTCGGCAAATTAGTTGTTGTTGTGGTTGTTGTGGTTGTTGTTGTTGATGTTGTTGTTGCTGATGATGTTGTTGTTGATGATGTTGTTGTTGTTATTGTTGATGTTATTGTTGTCGATGTTGTTGAGGACGTGGCTGATGACGTAGCTGTTATTGTTGCGGTTGTTGTTGTTGTAGATGTAGAAATATTTTTATTGAATTTTTGATTTTGTTGTGCGCGTGTCCCATCTAGTTTTTTGTCTTCATCCGGTAGAACATACAAGATGGAGTAATCTAAAAAATTTGGATCGCCATTTTTCTCAAAATTTTGAAATTTATAAATTGTAGTTAACGGTATCTGGAAAGTTGTAGATACTATTTGTTGATGTTGTCGTTGTTGCTGCTGAAGCTGTTGCAGCTGCTGCTGTTGCCTCTGCTGCTGCTGATGTGGTTGTAGCAGATAATCATCGTCAGGATTTTGTTGCTTCTTGGCGCCGATCTCAGCAATATGAATAATACTCTGCAGAGCTACATTTTGGTTTTTAAGCTGCTGCTGATGATTGTAATGCTGCTGCTGCTGTTGCTGCTGAAATTGTTGCAGTTGATGCTGTTGATGTTGTTGCTGGTGTTTCAGAAGCTCTCTACATAGTGTCAGGTTATTCATCACCTCATTTCTCAACATTTTGTTGCTACCTTTAAGCTGGGATAATCTCCTCTCTAGATTTTCAATCATTTTGATTAGCTGGACTTGATCGTCCATAATTTGAGATTTTTTCTTCTCAATTTTTCCAATTATCTTCTTAGTCGTCTTCATCCTTGCCCACCACTGCCGCAATTCCGACCTGTCTCTACCAACGTACAATGCAGCTGTTGTTGTTGTTGTAATGATGATACTATCTGATACAGTATCATTTACCGTAGTTGTAGTAGTAGTACTTGTAATAGTTGTTGTAGTAGTAGTAGTAGTAGTAGTAGTAGTAGTAGTAGTAGTAGTAGTAGTAGTAGTTGTAATAGTAGTAGTTGTAGTAGTAGTAGTAGTAGTAGTAGTAGTAGTAGTAGTAGAAGTAGTAGTAGAAGTTTTAATAACGGCCTTAATCTTAAAAGCGTTAATAAACTTTTTAAAAATACTCTCAACTTCAGTACGTGAATTTTTGCATGCTGTAGTTATATTCATCGTAGCAGAAGCAGTATTAGTAGCTGGAGTAGCAGCAGCAGCAGCAGTAGTAGTAGTTGTAGTAGTAGTTGTAGTAGTTGTTGTAGTAGTAGTTGTAGTAGTAGTTGTTGTTGTACTAGTAGTAGTAGTTGTTGTTATAGTTGTAGCAGTAGTAGTAGTTGTTGTAAAAGCAGAAGTAGTAGTAGTAGTAGTGGTAGTGGTAGTAGTAGTAGCAGAAGTAGCTTTAGGGATTAAGTTGTGGTAACGATTCACATCGTTGGGGTTTGTTGGGGGCGGAAATTTAATATAGACCACATCTAACTGGATGGCGCGAGATGATAACGGAAATGACGTCACTATGATAGAGATACTGTTTGGTGGTGTTTGTTTTCATCATCGTCATCATCAGTCAGTCATCATCATCCTCATAGCCATCATCATCACCAGCAACATCATTACCAGTCGTCATCATCATCATCACCGGCAACATCATAACCGTCATCAACAAGAACATCCTTAAAAAAACACTTACGTCAAAATGATAAGCATGGCCAAGCGAACATCGGTCTCTAAAAGCGTTTTACTTATTATGATTGCGATTATTATTATTATTATTATATTGCTAATAGTTTAATTATTATCTATGTTTTTATGCTATCATATCTGATCGAGGCGAACGAGAAAATACTTGAGCGATATTTATCAGCTTGATATTATTCCATCTATGTAAACAATAATAACAACAACAATAATAAATAGCAGCACTGTGACGTAACATAGAAAAATAAGTAAATCTATTAATAATATCGTCATGAAATTTTTATCATTATGCCTCACACGAAATCAGTCACATTCCTCAGTGAACGGGTTTGTAACCACTGATGACATCGTAAGCATTTAATCCAGTTGCTTGCCACCCAGCCCCACACGCCAAACATTGACAATGACCAGAGACCACTTGCTTAGCGGAAGCCCCTGTGATCATAGTTTTTGTTTTGTCAGGGTTTACCTTTAGACCATGATCGGCGAGCTGGGTATTGCAGACCTCAAACTTTTTGGTTTGGTCTCATTTCAAAGTCGCTTTCAGGACGATATCATTATCTGCATATATCACAATCCATATGTCATTTGGGCGTATCGGTTTGGTTACTTCTTCCATCACCGTGATGAAGAGCAGGGGGGCTGAGTGTTGATCCCTGATGGGTGCCTACGTTAATGTCAAATTCACCCATGTTACCGGCTGTTGTACTGACTATTTGTGCTAGAGTATGTTGTTACAACGGTCTCAACTGCTATAAATATTTAACATTTAACTTTTTCAATCTCTTTCTTTGTTTCTCTCTCTCTCTCTCTCTCTCTCTCTCTCTTTCTCTCTTTACACCTTTTAGTACTTTTTATCATTATTTATATATAAATTTTTTTCCAACAGGCATTTCATTGAAAAAAGGTGCAACTATAGTGTTTTGTTCTTTTACTTCGAAAAATTTGTTTGAGATAGTAAAATGTATGCTGCTAAAAATAAATGGAAATATCAATTTTTGCTCCTTACTCACTCCCTTCTTCTCTTTCTTTCCTTCATTTCTCGCTTTTCTCTCTCTCTCTTTCTCTCTCTTTCTATTTTTTCTCTTTCTCTCAATTTTACAGATTTTTCTCCTCATTTTATTTGTCTCTGTCTGTTTTTCACTCACTCTCTCTCTCTCTCTCTCTCTCTCTCTTTCTGATTCTTGTTTCCATTTTTTCAAATTTTTTCATTATTCCACCAACATTTCGATCAACAGAACTGCAACAATGACATTCTTTGCAGACAGAGAGAACGTTAATTAGTTTGGTTGCTTGCTTGATTAACCGGGCACCAAACTGAGCGAGTATTTAAAAAAACGTTAAACTATTATTTAAGAAGAATACGAATGAAAAATGATTAATTATATTTTATCACGCCTGCCAGCAAGATTCTTTTCATTGAGGGAAAGGAAATATTGATTGTAAAAAGCCTGTGTTTGTATTTGTTTGTTTGTTTGTATGTTTGTTGTATGAATGTATGTAGGTTTGTATATATATATATATATATATATATATATATATATATATATTACATTTATTTTATATATAATGCTTGCTACTAAAAATAAAGTAAGTCTTATCTTTTTGGCAACTTTAAAACCGTCTTAATTAATTTCGGGAATGTAATAAAATATTAACAACAACAATTATAACAATATTAATAAGAAGAAGAAGAAGAAGAAAAAAAAGAAGAAGAAGAAGGAAAAGAAGAAGAAGAAGAAGAAGAAGAAGAAGAGGAAAAAAAGGATGACGATTGTCGCCATTATTTTGTTGTTGTTATTGTTGGTGATGATGATGTTACCAGCACAACAACAACAACAACAGATACAAATCAAATTCCAAAAAGCCTACAGCTATCTTGTGACGAACCAGAAAAAAGTCAGTAAGACTTATTTGTAAATGTTATTTTTAAAATTTAATTTCGTTATCATCGTTCGCGATGGAACTAATCAGTCAATAAATTAACCTGTTAATCAATTGATAAACCTATCAATAAATTAGTTAATTAACTAATTAATTAATTAACTAATTAATTTTTAAAGGAAATATTTCAATTTTTAGGTGGCAGTATGTTACGACAGCGATGTCTCGTTCTTCATAAAGACATCGGCTAAATCTCGATTGCATTGCATTAACAAGTGTCAAGTTGGTGATGACGATGATGTTGTTGTTGTTGTTGAGGATGTTGTTATTGTTGTTGATAATGTTGTTGTTGTTGATGGTGTTGTTGTTGTTGATGATGATGATGATGATGTTGTTGTTGACGACGACGATGATGATGTTGTTGTTGACGACGACGATGATGATGATGATGTTGTTGTTGACGACGACGATGATGATGATGATGATGTTGTTGTTGATGATGTTGTTGTTGTTAATGATGATGATGATAGTACATCAACATCATCATCATCAGCAACTAACAAAGATGAATTTGAGAGGAATAAATTTTATGACGTCACCATCACCATCGTCGTCGCTAACATGTTTGTGCGTACCAAAGATACCAGATGTTTGGTATAATGTAACGAGAGTTAACGGTACTACTGCTGCTACTACAGCAGCTACTGATTGTGTTGCTTATAACACTCACGGTTTGATTTATATTGTGTGTGTGTGTGTGTGTGTGTGTGTATGTTGTGTATTTTTACCGGTTTTTAATGTACATACCCTTGAAAACTCTTTGGTGGCCTAATTTTTCTATTTGGTATCCTGAGTGATGTTGAGTATTGTTTGGGTATTGTTGCTGGTGTTCTTATCATCTTAAATTATTCTTCCTACACTGTTTTCTTAAAACTTAAAAATCTTAAAATATATTTCGTTATTAATGCTGTCATGCCTCAAACTACATGAGCGTCCAGATAGCGTTTGGTTACTACACATCAAATTCATAGTTTATTGGGTTCCTTAGACTGTCTTGTGAGTTTTAGTAACTGGCTTCTTCTGCTTTCGTTAGCAGGTAAAAACTGTAGGCTACCTATCTATCTACCTACCACCGAGTGTTTGAAAATTCATCTGTTTGTGGATAGTTGATTGCAAGCACTCTGGCGAAGCATTATTATTCTTGTTGTCGTTGTTGTTGTTGTTACTGCTGTTGTTGTTGTTGTTGAACATTTCACTATTGGATAAGTGAATACGTTTGTCTCCACCTCTGTCCCGCTTCTAACTAAACTCCCCACCACAGGCTGCCCAGATGGATTTGACTATGTAACGGAAGGCCACAAATGTTACCGGATCATCTACAGCCTTGACAGCTGGTACAATGGCAGGTCCAAATGCAACAACATGTCCTCATCGTCGTCGTCGTCGGCATCAGCTCACCCAGTCATCATTGATGATCGGATGGAACAAATTCTCATTCAGCAGTACACTCTTATGTCTGTGCCAAGTTTGTTTTAAAACTTTCAGACAATGGAAACTTCGATTATTAAAATCAGTAATTTGGTTTGGCTTAAGCAAACATAACATAACAAATAGCAATCAAATTAAAAGACACAAACACGATCAATACAGACACATCAAACTGCTATGTCTTCATAACTGCACTCAAGTTGTCATTCTGGACGAGCGGTTTTCAAACATACATCAACTCTGTGAGAACGGCTTTTCAATGGAGTCCATACCCTGGTTATTTTTCATTTTTGTTTTCAATTGACTTTGGGACAGAGGGGTAGCCAAAGCGGGTGCATTGGACTGGAGACCTCCACGGTGAAAAGTTTATTTAAAGTTAAGGTTAAATTTAACAAAATATCTTATTCCAATATTGGACTAAGTTTAATAAAAATTTGGTATAAAAAAATTTGTAAAAAACAAAAAAGTCGTTATTTTTTTCAACAACCTCGCCTCTCCCGACAAAATTTTCTGGCTAAGCCACATCATTTCAACTAATTAATCGTTTTTCTTAAAATTCATAAACCTATTTTACTAAATCAACAACCGATCAAAACACATCCAGGAGTTTATCAGCCCTTTCAATTCATCAACTGGCGGGCCGGTGAGCCAAACAGTCTTGCTGACGGTACAGACAACTGCGTGGAGGATTTAGTATATAGGTCCGTCGGTCCGCCTGGTTGGAATGATAATGGGTGTACTTCCTCGTACTGCGTTCTGTGTGAATTAGATTTGATGATGTGAGCGAGGAGGAAGATGGGATTTTTTTTTCAAAACTGAAATAACGTTTTGTGCATTTCGTACTGCAGTTTGAAATTCTCAACTTCATTAAACTCTTCAGCGTTGGCAAACAGTTTGAAAGTGTATGACTAACAAAAATAAAGTTTTTCTCTCAAATGTTTAGACGTGAAAGAGACAAATCTAAAAAACCAAATCGACCGAGGTAGCTGTATTCGAGAGGGGGGGAGGAAGCAGAGGGCCCATCAAGGTCATACCTTAAGCCGTACCCCCATGTGCGTGTGTGTGTGTGTGGTGTGTGTGTGTGTGTTTGTGTTAAATGCGTGTGTGTTTTTAAAATGTTAACAAAATTCAAATGTTAAATAAAAAGACAAATTTAACAAAGTGTAACCAATAAGTGAGAAGTAGAAGGTCACATACAATAATAATGACGATGGCGACGATGATGACAATAGCAATCTTACTCTTCTTCTTGCTTTTGATTTTTCCTCTGCTTTTGATACTGTTGATCATACTACTCTCTTGAGGCTGCTAGATGATTCTTTTAACATCACTGATTCTTGTCTATCTTGGTTTTCTTCTTATCTCTGTAATCGTTTTTCTTCTGTTGTTCTCAATAATTCTACTTCTAACTCCTCTACTCTTACTTTCGGGGTACCTCAGGGTTCAATCCTTGGCCCTCTTCTATTTATACTCTATACATCTGAACTACCTCTCGTATTATTAATAATTTTTCTTTCACTAGTCAACTATATGCTGATGAATCTTATATTTATACTTATTGTCCTCCATCCAAACTCAATAGTGTTATTATTCATAATCTATCTCTATGTCTTTCTTCAATTATCGCTTGGTCTGACTCTATGTGCCTTAAACTTAATTCTTCTAAATTTGAATTAGTTTGTTTTAACAAATCCAAACACTCTATTACCATTCCTCCTATTATCTTACCAGAGTCTAAAACTCTTGATGTCTCTCACAAATTTCGCTGCCTAGGCTTTATCTAAATTGTTTCTTTCTTCTCAATTATTAGTGTTTGTAGAAGTTCTTACTTTCATCTAAGTAGAATAAAAAACTTTTGCCTTTTCTTGACAATCCTTCTCTTCGCTTGTTACTTCGTTAGTCTTATCTAGGATTGATTATTGAAACTTGCTCTACTATGGTCTTTCTGATTCTACACTCTTAAAATAAGGCTTTTAACTCAGCTGCGCGTCTGGTTGTTCGTGCCCCTTTCTTTTCTCACATATCTTCACAACTTGTTTCATTGCACTGGCTGTCTATAAAATAAGAATAATTTTTAAAATTTGCACATTAATGTACATGTTTCAGTCTGAATTCTTTCCTAGATATATTAATGGAACCTAAACGCGCCGGTTTACGATCGTCTTCTTGTTCTCATTTCATGTAAACTCGTGTTAAACGCTCTTCTGCTAAATCTGCATTTGCTTTTTCTGGCCCTTTTCTCTGGAACTCTCTACCTCCTTCTCTGACTACTTCTCCATCACTTGCGAAGTTCAGAGCGGATCTCAAGACCCATCTGTTTGTAAAATTCATTGAGGAGATTAATTGATAGATGTTGAACATCGCGGAAATAGCGCTTTATAAAATAATTGATTGATTGACGATGACGCTGATTGAAACACAAACTCGCATTTTTATTAATATTATATTTTAGCATTAATAATAATACTATAAATAAATAAAATTGTTATAAAAAAAATAAACTAATCAATTAACATTATGAAAAAAAATCATTTATTACTGCTACATCACCATCATCATTTTCATCATAATTATAATGATGTTGCTGATATTATTAACCATCATCATCAATAATATGCTATCATCATCATCATCACACATCATCTAACAAAATTTTTTATCATTTCACATTAAACCTTGATTTATTTTAATATTAGTATGTTTTTTCAAACTCTAAAACAAAATAGAGCATGCATACAAACACACACACACGCAGGCACACAAAACTTGCAAACACACACACAAATGTGTTTTTTAAGATAGAAAAAAAGAACATGCGATAAATAATCAAAAATGTGTGTATGTATCTGTGTGTGTGTGTGTGCTTGCGTGCGTGTGTGTTAAAGTTATTTAACAAACAAATCTTTGCATCATACGAAAAGTAATTTTGCCTTACTCGGAGCAGTAGAATTTAGCGCTATAAAAATGCAGAGTAATAAAAAGAATAATAATAAAAATAATAACAATTATAATAATAGAAATAGGAATAACAAAAATTGAAACTTGAATCAATCATTTTCTTTGTAAAATCGTTAAAACAGCGCCTGAAAGGTTAAAGATTAATTCATCATCATCATCATCATCATCATCATCATCATCATCATCATCAGGGTTATTATTATTATTACTATTTATTATTATTATTATTATTATTATTAAACGTAAGACATATACATTGGTTGTGTCTGAGAATTTTTTCCAAATAATTAATAAATAAATTTGAGAAAACAATAACATTGTTTAATAATAATAATAACAATAACAACAACAACAACAACAATAACATCAACAACAATAACATCAACAACAAGAACGATAATAGAGGATTAATAACAACTAGCATTATTCATCCGCTAAATATAATGAAAACATAAAAATAATAGTATATATATATATATATCAATATATATACAACAACCAAAGATCACAAATAATATACAGCTTAAAGAGAGATAGAGAGAGAGAGAGAGAGAAAGAGAGAGAAAGAGAGAAAGAGAGAGAGGTGAGATTTAAACTCAAGAATCCCCATGCCCCGAATCGCCTTCACATTCATCATCCCGAGGGCAAACATCTTCACCGTAGTGTGCAGCACCACGTCTCCTCTCTCCAACGCCACTATCGTCGCGGTGGTCGCCACCGACGTCCTCGTCGTCGTCTTCGCCATCGTCGTCGTCGTCGTTATTATCGAGGTAGTCGTCGTCGTAGAAGTCGACGTCGTTTGAGTGGTCGTAGGACGTCAGAGCAGAGGAGGATGGATCCTGGCAGGAAGAGGATGCAGTCGGTCTGACGCAATACTCTTGAAGGGTCGTCGGTACCGTCACGTTGTCTTTCTCCGCTTCTAATCGAGTTGCTCTCACTTGTTTTCTGAACGTGTGTGTGTTTGTGTGCGAAAAATTTTGTGTGCGTACGTATGTGTGTGTGTGAGATAAGGTTAATGAGTGATGAGCAATGAGATACCATTGTATGTTTTTTTTTCAGATTGCTATTGAAATGCTAGCAAACTTTAACAGATTCAAACTCCTTGATTATGAATCTTCACTGCTAAACAAACAAGGAACAGAAAAAAGGGCAAGCATGACACAACTGGCTAGTATAGTAACAAAGAAGAGAAACAACAAACCGAACGATATTTTCATAATCTTTGTTCTTCCCCTTGCTGTCTTTCCACTTCCTGAAAGCTACAGACGCATCCACATTGGCTGGTGAGGCAGTATTCGGTTCGTTCAACAGTGATATGATGCTGAGTAGGATTGTTCTGGATGGTGTTTGGTTGGTTTGGTGGAGAGATTTGAGTTGCTTTTTGATTTGGAAAACTTTTATTTTTCCAGATTTTACATTTTAACAGAAGATAAAGATTGTTTTTTAACATATTTTATTATAATTAATTTTTAAATTTGAATCAAAATTCTTAGTGAGGCCATCTACAGCTACCAAATTTACAAAAAAACAGAAACATATCAGTTAAAAAATTGTGATCAAAAAGAGAGCAAGTAGCATGTGGTTAGCTTGGCCTTTGGAAATAAACTCAAGGTTTCCACTTTCTAATGACCCCCAGGCCTCAGCATCTTTAAATCTGACCCCTGATTAGTGACGATTAGGGACTACTAACCGAACATTTTGTGTTGGGTTCCATCTCTCTGATGGTAGCTCTCCACTTTGAGGATCGTCAATTGGAGGATGAAGGATGGAAATGCAGACAAAACCATTCTATGGTGGGGTCAAATGGGATAAGAGGAAAGATTAGAAAACTTATTTAAAATAATTTTACTTCGTAATCATAAAATGAAAACCACAATATTCATTTCAAATATAAAATCTTAAAGTATTTTAAAATAATTTCTATAACAATTAAAGCTTTGAAAATGCATTAATTGGATTAGGACCCCAACCCTAACTAACTTCATAAACGTTTGGATGGAACATTTTGCAGAGGAACCTGACTGAGGGAGGTGAGTAAGGATAATCAGTTGGAAACCTCATAATGGCCTTTATTCAAATAAAAATAATAAACAGATTAGAATGAAAAATTAGAAAACTGCAAATTAATTCATTATTTTATTTCATTTAAAAATTAAATCCTAACTAATTCTATTTTATATTTTTGTAGCAAACATTTGATGGGGGTAATAAAACCTTGAAGTAGCCGCCTTCGTAGAGGGTTCCGGGAGGTCCAAAGAGGGCGACCTCCCACTCAAATATGTGGCTATCGTTGAACAGCCGGACTCTAAAACCTTCAACCGGTTCGTCATTCAACTTTTTCAATTCCAGTTGCAGAGCCCTTATGGCGCTAGCCGGAGAACAATGAGCCATTTTTTTAATTAAAATTTTTTTTTTAACCTTTTATTAATTTAAAATTACGATTGGTGAAAAAGAAAATTAAAGTTCGACTGTAAAATTTGAAATGGAAAAAAATGAAATGAAGGGTACTTCAATTTGTTAAATTTTTGTAATCTTTAACTTTTATCTTTTTAGGACAAAAGATGGCCAATTAAATGACATCACGCGTTTTTAAATAAGTTTTTTATTTTTTTATTAAAATAAATTTTTAATTAATTTTTTGTCAACAATTTTTGAAAATAAAAAATTATTTAGTTAATTTATCTGATTCTAATTAAAAATTTAATAATCCTTTATAAATCTATTGTTTTGTTTGGCCTTAGATCACCTTTTCGCTTTTTTCAAACGATAATACAATTTTTTAAATAGAAAGTTAAAATATCGGACGAAAATTTGATTTCGATTAGTGAAAAATATGGCGAAAATTCATATTGAAATTAGTATTTCTGTTTTTAGAATAAAATTTTAATGCTAATTAAATGCAGTTCCAGATTCCATTTTTTTGACCTGTTTTGATTTATTTTTAATTTAGAAGACTTCTTAATTAATCATTTTTAATCTTAATGTTAATCTTAATGTTTTAATAATATTAAATGATTTGTTAATGAAAAAAACTATAAAATTAGGACTTATTATTATTTACTTTTTTTAATTTTTTGTTATAATAAATAATGGAAGTTGTTGATGACAGTGGCATAGATTGTGAAGCAGGCGACCTACCCAAATCAGCCTTATCTTTAATGAAGGACGGCCAAAAAAAGATACTAAAGAATAGTGACAATTCAATAAAAAATGAAGACATCCACATTGTTGGAAGTATTAAAAATAATAGTGAACAAACTGGAAATCAGAATAAAAATGAAAACTTTATTAAAGATTCAGTGAATAAAATTAGTGTTGTGGATGATAAAAATGCTAGTACAACCATCATCACAAATTTCTTTTTCAACTAACTTACTTTTTAATTTAATTAATTACTTATTCATATATATTGTATTATATGATGATGGAAATATATATGTATTTCTAATTGTATATAGTATATATCTATACCTCTGTGTGTATATATAATTGTACCTGTGTGTGTGTGTGTGTGTGTGTGTGTGTGTGTGTGTGTGTGTGTGTGTGTATTATGTATTTCTATGTGTCTTTATGTGTTTTATTTTAATCTTTTATTATTGAAATTAACTTTTAGGATTTTTCAGACGAAGAGGTAGAGATTGATAATGTGAATGTCAACAGGAGTATTAACCAAAGGCCACTGCATAAAAAATTAGGTGAGGAATTTTGTGTTTATTCATTAATTTTTTCATTCATTCATTCATGCATTTGATCATTCATTCAATCATTTAACTGTTCATCCATTCACTTGTTCATCCATTCATCAGTTCATTCTTTCGTTCATTTCATGCATAACTTTTTTACAAATTTTTTTCTTTAAAATTTTGCAGACAACCACCTAGCTAGCTACAAAAAGAATAACAACAGCAACAACAACAACAATAATAACAATAATAACAACAGCAACAACAATCAGACTCTAAGACATCATGTTATATCTAGAAATAGGTAATGATGATTATGATGATGACGATAAAGATGATGATGATGATCAAGATTATGATGGCCAACATTATAACCTTATATTTTTTATATAGGTGATGATGTCAACTGTATTATTAACATATACACACATATATATATATACATATATTATATTTATTTATATATATATATAATATTTATGATACTTTGAATTTGGCACATTCCTAGACTTCTGGTACCCAGTAAAGCAGACGTGTCATCGGAAACAGACATTCAACCTCTTGTTGTTATTGACATTGACGACAGGTCAGTTTGATAGTAATGGTTTTTTTTCTTACATTTTTTTGTATTGATGTTGTATCAAACACGCACACACACACATATATATATACACACAAACACACAGCGAAGACGAGTTTGCTATTCCGAAACTTTCAAAAAAGGCCCACAGCGAAATGATGCAGCAGCTGTCGAAGGACGGATATAACCTTGACCTAGACCCCGACGAAGACGACCTTGACCTCATTCCTCCGCGACCTCTCAACGAACGGTGCATATGCTGCAATAGGCAGATCAACTGCACCATCATGTGATGGATTGACGGATGGATGAATGATTGAATGGATGGATGAATGATTGGATAGATGAATGATTGGATGGATGAATGATTGGATGGTTGGATGGATGAATGTTTGGATGGATGGATAGTTAGAAAAACGAATAGATAGATGGATGAATGGACAAAAAGTGCTGAATGAATCAACAAATGAATATTTATGTCTATAGAAGGATAGATAGACAAAATAAATAAATAAATTAATTAATTGAATGAATAAATGAAGGAATAAATGAATGAATGAATGAATGATTGAATGATCACAACAAAAACACTGATAATAACAATATTCTAAATAATAATAATAATGATGATGACGATGACGATGATGACGACGATGATGATAATGACGACATTGATATTTTCTTTCTTGATTAGGGAAAATTATTTTTCTTCCGTTTTGTTGGCTCTTAAAATAGGAATGTGTTTGCGTGCGTGCGTGTGTATGTTTGTATGTATGTATTTATGTATGCATGCATGTATGTATGTATGTATATATAAGTCTCTTTTGGGTTCAGACTGTCGTATATACAGTTATAATGCGGTGATATTTCATAACAAATATATAAGTCTACATATAATAAATATAAAATTATACATATATATAACGAGGGAAATATTGAATTCAAGTATCCAAGTCTTATTTTACAACCGTAATATAAGCAATTTGAGATTGGCAGAGGCCTTTATTAATAGAGAATAGAAACCCTGTAATAGACATCCAACAACAGGTTGTAACCATCCTACCGACCAAGAAATTAAATTACTCACACAATGAAATAGTGGAGTTAAAAAATAAAAATACTATAAATACCAGATGAACTACATGTAACAATATCAAAAACTCTATTACACTGATGATGGTAAAGGCTACCAAAAAAGCTTTTTTTTATGTAAATGTATATATGAAAAATGCAGTCTAAAATAATTAGAGATTTTATTAATAATTTGAATAAATTAAATAATATTGATAAAATAATTGTTGGAAAAATTGAAAAACTTACTTACAAACTCAACAATGCGGAGAATGCGGTGATATTTCTTAATAACTGTATATACGAGTCTAAACCCAAATATATATATATATGTATATATATATATACGTTTATTATGTATATATATATATATACCAAAGGATATAATGTTATTGTTGTTTCTATATAGTTAAGTCAGATTTGTAAAATATTGCATGAATTACACGCACACACACACGTACATACACACACACGTACATACACACACACGTACATACATACATACACACACGCTACATACATACACATACATATTTACAAATGTTATAATGTAGTTAACTGAAGTGCTTCATTTTGATTATATATCCTTTCTTCATTGTTCTTTATCATTATGTCTGCTTAAAAACATGACTTTATCTTCGTGTTATTGACACACACACACACACACACACACAGACAAACACACACGCACATATAATCTTTACAATATTCTATGAATTCTACCGAATGTTTGGCTTTAATATGTTTGTAGTTCGTTTTTTCGATTCGTTAATATGTTTGTAGTTCGTTTTTTTCAATTTTTCTCACAGTGAGAAAAATCGAACTACAAACATATTAACGTGACATAATTATTAACATAATATGTTTGTAGTTCGTTTTTTTCAATTTTTCTCACTAAGAAAAATCGAACTACAAACATATTAACGCCAAACACTCGGTAGAATTTATAGAATATTGTAAAAATTATGGTCTATTACCAACCTATACATATAATCATATACACAGATACACACATTTATATAATAGTATACACACATACATGCACACATAAGCAAACGTACAGTTATACGCTCTCAAATCTGTTTTTTGTGGATGTACACAAATTAGATGAATGAATGTGTCCACGTATATTTATCAATTGTTACATATTCGATTCATTTATCTTGAAAAGTATTAAACTCGTCCAGCTATTACTGTTAATAATAATAAATATTATTATTATTTTTTAATATTAGTGTTATTATTATATGGTGCTTTTATTATTACTACTATTAATATTAACATAATTTTATGTAATTTTTTCCACGCAGTGTGTATGTGTTTGCTGCTGATGAAACCAGTGCAAATGACCTTTTAACCTGTTTAATTATCATTATTATTTACGATGACCTTTAACCCGTTGAATTATTATTACTACTATTATTTACCAATGGTCTGTTCATTTGTCTCTATGTTCAGTTAGATTTTTATGAATTTATCTATTTCATTTCAAAGGTTTCGGTGTACACATTGTTGCAATTAATAAATATTTTTATTTATTTTAAATTTAACTTTATTTCTCAAAAATAACTTACATAAAGATATGATACAACGTAGGAATTGAAGTATAGCAAAAGACCTCTTACGATGAGATTGTAATAATTTGGGGGTATAGAATTTCATGGGCCTCACATCTGAATGAAAGAAGTGATTGAAGGTAAATGAATAAACTAGAAACTACTAAACAAAGAAGACTCAGCATAAAAATATATTGTATTATTTTATATCATTATATACAATATATATATATATATATATATATATATATATATATACATAGACACACACACATAAGCACAAGTAATATTGCAATAGGACAAAGTGAATGAGTTGATCAATTTCATCACTTTTTTCATCCTATCATTTTCTAAACATTATCTTCATTCATTATCCTTATCAGATACCACCACAACCTCATCAGTCATCATAAAAATAAGAGTTGCCATCGTCATCATTCATTCATTCATCATCATTATCATCATCGTTCTTTATAAAGGAAGAGGAAGTGATGAAACAGCATCAACACATTCCTGATATAGCTCTTTATAATCGCCATGCTGTTTAATAAGCATAGCACACGTCTGTCGTTTCGAGCCACTGGCCTCTCCTAATGCCTAATTTTGAAATATAGGAAAGAAATTAATTATTATTATTAATCTATAGTAAACAAGTTGGAAAATAAAATAATTTGAAGCAGTTTAAAGAATTTTTTTTATTTTTGAAATTTATACCGACTTCTTTTGATGGTACATAGCAGTATGGAAGTTGAAACTCTTCACAGACGATGGGTAAATGAGCGATCACGTCAATGGGGTGTGTGTCCCCGGCTAAGATTATCAGTCTAAAAAGTTAATGTTAATCTACCTTTAATAATTTTTTCAACAAATAAAATATTGCAAATAAAAGTCATGTCTGTACCAGAAATTAACAATAACTTGGTTAAACATATTAATAAGGTAAAAATATAGGTACCCTTTTTCTCCTTTTCTTAAACATTTCTGGACGTCTTTAATACCTTTCCTTAAATGTTTGGCCTTTTGGGCTAAAAAAGTAAAATTTCTCAAACTTTAAAGTTATAAATTCGGAATAAAATCATAAATAAAATCAAACATAATTAAATTAATTTACTATTAACTAATGAAATAAAATAATAATAATATTTTATTTGATTTATAAATAAATTTAATTTAAATAGAATAGAATAACAATAGGAATAGTGAATAGATAATAAATTAATCAATCATTTTGATCATACATTTATTTATATATTTATAACAAAATATAAATAAATTATATATATACAGAAGTTATATCTAACACATCTACCTCTGACAATGAATAAATTGAAACAATTTTGTATTAACCTTTTTTAATAACTTTATAAATTTTTTTCGTCAACTTTCTCGAGGCCAACGGATTTGCGATGATCTGACACCGGTTCACTAATTCATCCCAATCGACCTTACCGCCATTATCGACCATCGATTCATTCGCATCAGTTTCGCCCATTTTAAAAATGAAAATTACAAATTTTATTAATAAATTGAAAAAATTAAAACAGAAAATTAGAAATCAGCGAGTTACGAAAACGATAATAAAACAAACACACGACAATTGTTTGCCATAGATAAGTAAACTTAAATCGTAATGTTTATAGATATATATAATATTATATGAATGTTATATGAAAATAGGATCTATCAAAGTTTATATTTTAACAATTAAAATGTTTTAAAATAATAAAAACTGTATTTTATTTACTAAAACAATATTAAACTTAATATAGTGGACTATCTGGTAAAATAATCACTTTTAATCTTTTAATTATAAACTTTATCTTTTAGTTATACCATATATAAAAGTGCACTGTTCAAATTTGTTTTGCCTGGTTCGGTTGCTAATTGTGGCAAATCTAAAAATGGAATTTAAAAAATCGGCAGGTCAGACGATAAGACAAATAAAATCAGTTAGCTAAGTTTTATTTTTTCAAATTGTTTTTTTTTAATTCCATTTTTGGATAGGGTGATTATAATGTGGTAATGTTAGCTCTGGCACATGGTGCTGTCTCACATCAGATGTTTCTTTAATTAATTTAATTTAATTAAATAAATTTTTTTTCCAGTTTTTTTTATATAATTTTTATTTCGTTTATCAATTTTTTTTAGGATAAATTCACTTTAACTAAAACTATTACTAACTCTAACTATTCTTATTTTCACTAACCTTACATTTACATATACCTAATAATTCATTTTTATTTTTGAAAATCTTCCTCATTTATTTACTTTCATAAATAAACGTGAATTTAATGGCTTTTATTCACAATAATTGAAAAAATGAATTAATTCACAACAAATTGTCTTTTTATTTTCTAAAATAAAATTAATTTTGTAATGATTATTAAATAAAATAAAACATACTCTATCTATATCTATATATTAACTGTGTATGTATTTTGTTGTGTGTGTGTGTGTGTATGTCTGTATTTGTATGTGTATGTGAAGTTTTATTTTATTTTATTCTTAAAACAGAAAAATCAAAATGAAAAGCTTAGATCAACATCATCAAAGCTGGCCACAATGACGAAATATAATTCTTCAACTGACAGTGATGATGATGATGATATTAATAAGAATAATAATAAAAATAATAATAAGTGTAGTATTAAAGATGATAGTATTAATATTTGTTGTAGTAGTAGTAGTAGTGGTAGTTGTGTTGATGATGATGATTATGGCAAAAGATTTTTATCCACCACACCGAAAGGTGGTAATGATGATAGTAGTAGCAGTGATGATGATGATTTCAATAGTAAAAAATCATTATCAACAACAACAGCAAAAACATCAACAACAATTTCTGCATTAACACAACCAACAGCAAAATTAAAAGATGTTGTTGGTGATGGTAGTAGTAGCAGTAGTGATGATGATGAGGAGGATGATGATGATGAAGAAGATTATTGTAATAGTAAAAACCCATTAGCAACAACATCAACAAAAGCATCAACAAAAGCATCAACAAAATCAAAAAGTGATGATGATAGTAGTAGCAGTGATGATGATGATGATGATGATGATGATGACTGTGTTAGTAAAAAGTTATTAGCAACCACATCAGCACAACCGACAAGCACAACAGAAACACTGAGAAAGTTAAAAGAGGGTGGTGATGATGATGATGATGATGATAGTAGTAGCAGTAGCAGTGATGATAATGATGCTTATTGCAATAGTAAAAAGTTTTTAACAGCGTCAACAAAAATGTCAACAAAAATGCCAACATTAACACATCCAACAACAACAACAATGAATGATGCTGATAGTAGTAGCAGTGATGATGATGATGATGATTGCCAAAGTCAAAAAACATTTGCAGTAACGTCAACAATAACATCAACATCAGTATCAACTAAACCATCAACATCAACACAACCAAAAACCACAACAACAACCACAACAACAACAACGAATGATGATGATAGTAGTAGCAGTGATGATGATGATGATGATGATGATGATGACAGTAGAAGGCGGCCAGACAACGCTGGACTTGAAACGTCCAGTGGGGACGAGGATAGCAGTGATGGTGATGATGGCCATGTTGGGGGTATAAGAAGAAAATTTCCCTTTACATTTTTATCATCATCATCATTATCATCAACAACAAAAACAACAACGTCTTCGACATCACTATCAAGGATAACAACAACATCAACAACGGTAATGCCATCACTATCAGCACCGAAATCTACATCAACAAAATCTTTGTCAACGTTGAAAACAATTCCTACAGCATCAATTGCAACATTAAAAAAAACCTCAACAACAACTACATTAACAACAACAACTACATCAACAGCAGCAACAACAACTCCACAGTCGACAGTAAAAATAACATCAACAATTTCAAAGCCAACGACTACATCAACAACAACACAATCGAAAACATCAACTACATCACTATCAACACTAAAAACAACATCAGTAGCAACAACTACATTAACAACAACAACAACACCAACACAAATTCAATGTAACAAATCAGAGACAGCATCATCATCATCATCAGATAATAAAGCTAAAACAAAAACTATATCTGCTAGAAATAAACCAAAACCTACAAAGACAACAACAACAACAACACCATCAGCAACAACATTGATGATTTCAACAACAACAGCAACAACAATGATGATGACGTCAACAGCTGCAGCAGTAACAACAACAACATTAAAAACAACAACACCAACATCTGTTGAGCAAAGCATATTATTGACAACAACATCATCAAATGAGAAAGCTAAGCCTAAGACTAGATCTACCAGAAATAAACCACAAATAGCAACAACAACAACAGCAATTAGTATGACGTCAACAACAACAACAAAAACTACAACAACAACAATGGTGATGATGACGTCAGCAACAACAAAAGCTACAACAACAACACCTATTCAAGAAAACAAACCAAGGGCATCAATGTCAACATCAGCAGCACCATCACCACCAACAACAACAACAGTGATGACATCAACAACTGCATTAACAACAACACCAACACACAACAAATCATTGATAGCAGAATCATCAGATAAGAAAACAAAAACGAAACCTAGAACTACTAAAAATAAACCACAGACAACAACAACGACAATGACATCAACAACAATGACGATGACATCAACATCAACAACAACAGCGACATCGACACTTATTCAACAAAACAAATCAAGGACAACAACAATAGCAACAACTATGATGATGACATCACCACCAACAACAACATCAGCATCACCACCACAAACAACAACAAAGATGGTTACATCAACGACTACAGCACCAACGACAACAACAACTACATTAACAACAACGCCATCAACCATTCAGCAAAACAAATCATTGACAACAACATCAACAAATAAGAAAGCTAAAACGAAAACTAGTTTTAAAAATAAACCACAGACAACAACAACAACGACGACGACATCAACACCTATTCAACAAAACAATTCCAAGACAACAACAACTACAACAATGATGATGATGACATCATCATCAACAACAACAGCAGCAACAATAACAGCAACAGCATCAACAACAACAACGGCTGCATTCACAATAACAACAACAACAACAGCACTACCAATAACAACATCAACTGCACCACCACCAACAACAACCACACCAGCCACACCAACCACAACAACCGCACCAGCCACAACAACCACACTAGTTACGACAGCTGCGTCGATAACATCAACCACTAAAACATTAACAACATCTTTCATTAATCTAAACAAGCCAAATACTTTGTTTCTCATCTCAACAAGAATGGCGCCAAAAACGTCAGCTGTTGTTGACGCTACTGCTGCTACGACAGCTACTACTACTACTACCTCTGCTATGACAGCTACTACTTCTGCTGCTACTACTACCGCTGCTACAGCGGCTATTACTGCAGACACAACATCATTACTTTCAAAAACAAATGTTACTGCTGCTGCTACTACAGCTGCTGCTGCTACAACAGCTGCTACTGCTACGACAGCCGCTGCTGCTACTGCTGTTACAACAGCTGCTGCAACAAAAGCTGGAGCTGCCGCGACTACAAAAGCGTCTGCTGTTACCACTACTAAAACAAATAGCTATTTGATAGCAAGCATTTTAAAACCATTCCTGAAAAGAAGTATTGTTGAATATTCATCATCATCATCATCAGATGATGATGATGACGATGATGGCAAACGCGCAACAACAATTAGGAAAACCACAACAACAACATCGACAACAACATCATCATCAACAACAACAACGTCGACAACAACAATCATAAAAACAATATCAACAGCAGCAAATGATAGTATCTCGTTGAGATCATCACAAAAGCCAACAAGGAAGAGAAGGAGATTATCGTCAGATGGAAGACAGGAGCCTAAGAAATATGCTGAAGAGAGTAGAATCCTTTCTCTGACCGGTGATAACAATCTCAGGAACAGAAGCAACAACATCGTCAACTGCATCAACAACATCATCAAAGATATCAAAAGCAACAAAGACAACAAAAACCACAATGACAACAAAAACAACAAAGACATCAAAAGCCACAAAGACATCAAAAGCAACAAAGACAACAAAAGCAATAAAGACAACAAAAGCAACAAAGACAACAAAAGCAACAAAGACAACAGAAGTAACAAAGACATCAAAAGCAACAAAGACAATAAAAGCAACAAAGACAACAAAAGCAACAAAGACAACAGTGCACAATCTAATGGATTGCCAAAAAAGAATGTTGCACCTTCAATTGTAAATAATTCTATATCGTCATCATCATCATCATCCGACGATGATGATGATGGGGATAATGGTCGCGAAAATTTTTTTGCCAAGAAACTTCTGAAGAATGTTAACAACAATAGAGCAATTAACCAAAGAATTTCGAAAACCGTTAATATAAATAGTTATATACCATCATCATCATCATCTGACGACGACGACGATGATGCTGATGATGATGGTGGTAGTGATGATGATGACGGTGGTAATGATGATGGTGATGATGATGGTGAAGATGGCGATAGCGATGGTAATAACAACAATAGAATCGTTGACCAAAGAATATGGAAAACCATCGATGAAAATGAACAACTAGATTTAAGTTCTTTGCGTAGATATAGCAGGAACGGGGAATCGTCATTCTCCTTCTCCGATTTAGAAAGCACAAAAAATAGTTTTAGCCCTAACATTAATTATAATGATGATAATAATAATAATAATAATAATAACCATAATTGTCATTGTAATAAAAATGACAATGATAATAGTCATAATAGTAGTCTTAATAATAATATTAATGATAATATTAGTTTTATCAACTTGTCCGCCAGTTCTGATCGAACGAAATTAAAAAACATTCAAAAAAGTATTAGCCAAAATAATAAGAATAAAAATAATGCTAGTAATAGTAACAATAATAATAATAACAATAATAATAATAGTAATAATGGTCACAATAACAATAATACTAATAGTATAAATTTGTCTGTCTGCTCTAATCAAACGAATCTAGGATTAAAAAGAGGAATATCGAACGTAGATAAGAGTTCTATCAGCTCTGACGATGGCGGAACGGCAGCTGATGTTGGTACTCTCTGGAATGGACAAAGAACTAAAAAGATGAAATTATCCACCTCACTGAAAACTTTAATGGTGAAATTAGTGGATATAGCTGCTACTACTACTACGTCTACTGTTGCTATTACTGCTACTACTACTGCTGCTGCTGCTACTACTACTGTGACTACTATTGCTGCTGTTTCTGCTACTTCTTCTTCTACTGCTACTTTTACTACAGCTACTACCACGGCTTCTACTACCTTTGCTACTGCTACTACTACTGGTGCTGCTATCATTACTTTTACTACTCCGACTTCTATTGCTGCTACTACTGCTACTACTACTAACACTGCTGCTACTACTTCTACCTCTATTGCTGTTACTACTACTGCTGCCACTACCACTAATGCTATCACTATCAGTGACGATGACGACGATGGTGATGACGATGATGACGACGACGACGATTGTATTGTTTTTAGCACACAACGGCCATTTAGCGGTAATAGTAAGGAGAAAAAAAGTCATTGTAGAGTTATCAGAATCACCCGAAATTCGTTGGATGCGGTTGTGGTCAAGCCAGGTCAGATCGCCGTGAACCAACAACCGACGATTAGTGCCGTCAATAATAATAATAATAATAATAATAATAATGGTGGTGGTGATAATGATTATAATAATAATTATAGTAGCAACAATAATAGTCATAGTAATAAAAGTAACGAAATCACCACTGCATCTTTTACTAATGTAAGTAATACTACTACTACTGATACTACAGCTACTACTTCTACTACTGATGCAGCAACTGCTGCTGCTGCTGCTTTTACTACTACTAATAATAATAGTGGTGATAGTAGTGTGGATAGTGGTTTTTGGGGTAGATGTTTCTCAACGTCGACACCAATTCATTACTCCTCCGTGGCTACTGGTGATGGAAAAAACGAAAAGGTATGATGATGATTGTTATTATTATTGTTATTATTATTATTATTATTATTCGACCTCTTGAAATACCTCAACACGATTTTTCTCTCAACTCAAACAGGCCAGGCAGAAAAACGTCAGGTCTTTGAGGCTGAAGAGCAGACGGAAATCTCTCCAAAAATAATGAGTTGCAACCAAAAGATTATAAAGAATAGTGTCTAGGATTAAAAAGAGGAATAGCGAACGTAGATAAGAGTTCTATCAGCTCTGACGATGGCGGAACGGCAGCTGATGTTGGTACTCTCTGAAATGGACAAAGAACTAAAAAGATGAAATTATCCACCTCACTGAAAACTTTAATGGTGAAATTAGTGGATATAGCTGCTACTACTACTACGTCTACTGCTGCTGCTGCTGCCGTTACTACTTCTACTACTATTACTGTTAATAATGGCTTACTACAACATTGTTAAATTTTTGGACGGAATTTGGTATTAATTCTTTAGATATATAATAATATCTATTGAACATACTAAAAATTGATTAATGTTTGCTTGTATGTTGTGTTTATATGAATTTGTTTGCGTGTGTGTGTTGGTTTGTTTGTGTGTATGTGTTTTGGTGCGTGTTAAGAATTGAACTATAGTGTGTGCGTGTTAAGAATTGAACCATAGCGAAGAATTTTTCATCTTCCTGGTTCCTTGTTTTTTTAACTTGATTTGAATAAATATGTGCCTATGATTGTTCATTTGTTTATTTATATTTCACTTATTTGTATATTTTATTCAACCTAGGCTTTAAAGAAGGATTATTAATTTTAAAAGTTAATGATTAATAGAAGAATAGATGAGTGGGTGAGTGATTGAGTGAATGAATGAGTGGGTAAGCGAGTGAATGAGTGAACGAGTGACCGAAGAAAGTTATTAAGAACAAAGGAAGATATGCACATTTTAATTTTACAAAGTACTTCAATTTATTTTCAATCATATTTCGAAACCTAACAATGGCAAAAATGATGATTCAAACTGAAAATGAAAAGAATCAAAAGAAAAGAATCTTTTTTTTTCATAAAATCATAAAAAACTTTTATAATTATTATTATTGTTAATATTATTAATATTATTTTAATTAATATTTTTAATACTCAAACGCCGCGAGACAAGCTGAAATTTAAAACACGTAAAAAAATCTGCAAGTAAATTGTTTAAAATCAGGTAAAAACTGTTATCAATTATTCATTCATTCATTCTATCAATCATTCCGTTCATTTTATTAATGAATCTATAATTCATTTCATTCATTCATTTGACAATTCAATCATATTATCAATCAGTATATCAATCAATCCATCAATCAATCATTCATTCATGTTACGCGTTGAATTGGTGCACGTTTAATTATGTACAGTGCATTTATACATCATTAAATGAACAATCTATCCTCTTGTCAGTTTACCAAAACAATCATTCATGTGTGTGCTCGTGTGCAATGGCAATGAGATTAAATTGAAGATAAAGATGATGGTGTCGGTGCAGTTCGTTCATTTAGCAACCACTTCAAATTTGATCAAAAAAAAATCTAGATACGGCATAGAACCAAGTCAAAACGATATCAATCTATCATTCATTCATTCATTCATCATTCATTCATTCAATCCGTCAATCAACCAACCGACCAAGCATCGCAAACTCAAATAAGATGAAAAAAAAAACGAAAAAAATTCGAACAATCTGATTGGCTGACGCCAATCACCCATAACTCCGCTTTTGATAAATTCTGATTGGTCGAGCCCAGAGGTTAATGAGGTCGTCGGGGTGAATGGGGACGTAGCCGAGGTAGCCGACGACAAGGTCAGACTCGTGTGGGTCGTTGAACCAGATGTCGATACTGTTGTAAGGCACCTGCAGATTTGGGCGTAACAACAACAATAATAATAATAACAAATAATAATAATAATAAATAATAATAATAAATAATAATAATAATAAATAATGATGATAATGTTATTATTTTTATTATTATTATTATTAACATTGTCGCAAACTCACAATTAAGGATGACGGGAAATATAGGACGGCATCTGATAGAACGGCTGACCAGGCTTGCCTGCATCAACATTCATCATCATCATTACTATTTAATATTTATTATTATTATTTATTATTATTTATTATTTATTATTCATTGTTATTATTATTATCACCTGTACCTGTATAATGAGTAACAGTAGGTAGCGAGAATGAAGGCAGAGGATAGAAATTTCTGAAATCGGGAAAGACGTCATCATCATCATCATCATCAATCTAATCATCATCATCATCATCATTATCATCATCATCATCATCACGACCATCATTATCAGAACCATCATCAGTCTAGCCATCATCATCATCACTAACGTTATATCCTTCAAAGCAGACGGACAGACTGGCGGAAATTGTTGGAAAACTGAACAAAAATCTGACGCACTTTTTAATTAGGTCAGAGTTCAAGGTCAAGGCTTTCCATAACAAATCTGTGTGTGTGTGTGTTTATGTGTGTGTGTAAATGTATGAATGTGTGTGTGAATGTATATGTGCTATATGTACATCTGTGCAGGAGCGTACTTGTTTGCACGCAAAAATGTGTATGTATGTGTGTGTATGTATGTGTGTGTATGCGTGTGTATATATGTGTATATAAGCGTGTGTGTATGTCTGCATGTATGTGTGTGTGTATGTGTGTGTGTGTAATACAATGTCAGTTGGTTAAGATACAACCATTAATAAATCTATGCGTCCAAAAATACTGCTTAATCGTCGTCATCAGCTGCAGCAGAAGGAAGCAAGCAGCAGCTGCTGTGACAACATCGTCATCATAATCATCACCTTCATTAACATCATCATCACCGTCGTCATCGTAAACGACTGGACATCATCATGATCATAGTCATATAATCCTCATGATCATACAAACTTTTAACTGCACTCAAATTCAAGAGCTGATACCAATAAAACATAGTAAAATAATAGTAATAATAATAATAATAATAATAATAATAAATATTAATACTTAAATCACTTTAAAAATAGTTACAAAAGAATGAAACATACATTTAATGATGCTATAATCTGTAACCTTTCGACCACCATTATCAACATTATTATTATGATTGTTATAATTATAATAATTATGATTGTTGTTGTTGTTATTGAGATTTGCCTCCCTATCATCATCATCGCCACCATAATCATCTTCAAAGATATGGCTATCATCATCCTCATCGTCGTCGTCGTTATCATCATCATCATCATCATTGCTTATTACTTCAAAATTGAAAGAAGCATTGTTACAAAGTTCAACATTATCTAGGACACTTTCATCATCATCAGCACCTCCAAAAACTTCATCATCATCATCATAATCGTCATCGTCGTTATTATCATCATCGCCATCGTTGTGGTGGTTTTTGATCGGCAGTTTATTGAATAAATCATCGTCACTTTTGTTTGTGTTGATGTTGCTAATACTATTATTATTATTATTAATATTATTATTGTCGTTGTTGTTATCTCTTTGGCCTTTTGCATCTGCAAAGTCTTTATTTATGGACTGAAAATTTGAAGCACCATTATCATTATTTTTATTATTATTATTGTTGTTATTATCGTTGTTATTATGATTGTTGTTGTTGTCATTATTATGACTATTAATAATACCATAATTGGTGTTGATACTGATACTATTGCTAATGCCATCATTATCATTAATATTGTTATTATTATTGTTGTTGTTGTTATTGTTGTTGTTATTTACAGAGGTGACGGAAGTGATCCAACGAAATGGATGAATTCTGTTGGTCAGATTGGCGGCCATGATAGAATAGAGGTGACAGCCTCGAGTACAGGCATACTGATATATCTATGGGGTATCAAAAATAGAAATAGTAATGTCTATAGAACACCATCACCATCATCAACAACAGCAACAACAACAACAACAACATCATCATCACCTGAGTTATGTTGACATGGAAATTAAATAAACCCTTTTCTTGGTGATAATCGAGCCATCTGCAAGCCAAATCATCCACATTGAATACTGAATAAAGGAATGGATAAATAAATGAAGAATTGATTAAATGAATTAATTAATGAATGAATGGATATACAAGTATAATAATATTATTACTAATAAGAAATGTAGGTCAAATGCTAACTAAAATAAAATATTTATTCATAGGAGATGATGAATAAGAGCACCCACCTCTTTTTTCAAATTGAGCAAAAATAGGAACGATGAAAGATTTGGCAATGAGAAACCACAGCTCAGCCCCACTGAACATCAACTCAGTTAGGCGACTTTTATACTTTTGTTGATCATAAAAATCTTCAAAGAGTTTCAGTGAAGAGGCCACAGATGGTATGGCTTTTAGTTTAGTGAAAAAGGCATTTCCCATTCTTACTTAATTATTTTTACACACCACTAATAATCCTTCCTAACTAACTTAACTGACAACTAACAATAAACTTGTTGGGTAGATTATGATATTGTAAGTGAGCTGAGTGTTTTTATCTGGGAGTAAGTAAAGCATTTTCATTCTTAATATTTCCAATTTTAGTAAATTAATTAGTGTTATTTTTTAATTAGGAGACAAACTGTGTGGTTTCAATTTCATCATAAAATTTCTAAATTTCTTTTGAAATAAAATAAAATAAACATGTCATTTAGGAATAGCTTGATAATTGAATAAAAAAACTTAAGTGAAATAAAAAAAACTAACAATATCTCTGAAATAAAATGCTGATTGGACGAATTAATCCAAATCGAAACAAGTAAACAAACATTTGGCCGAAAACTAGATTTTATAAGCAACATGTTTAAAAGTAAATCGAGGTAAACTTTTTAGCAAAATTTATTAAACATTTTTACAGCTTGTAACCCAAATTATAAGTATATGCGTTTGTATTATTTTTTTAATTGTTAAATAATTATTTAAATTTTTTAATTAAAAAGTAATGAAAAAAATGTTGAATGTTAAAATTATGAAGTGCTAGATTGGAGTTCATTTTTCAACTGTTAAATGGTGTATTGCGCAATCTTCGCCTATATATATTTGTTAGCCTAAGTTCTCAGTTTGTGAAAAACTCAAATAAAGTTTTGATTAATAGTCGCTAAATAGTCTTTTTTTCATATAAATTTTAATTTTCGTGTCTTTGCAGCCCCTAAATTATGTTTCTACCTAACGCAACAACTTCTAGTGCAGAGGACAAGAAGAGTAGATTGAGAAATCATGTAAACCAAAATGTCGTCTGCCGGTTTTTCCTGCAAGGATGTTGTAGGTACGGCGACGACTGCAAGTTTTTGCACGTCAGACAATCTTCTTCCGAAACAGAGGTTCAGATTGAAAAGATGAAACATGTAAATGTCAAAAAATCTTCTACATCACCTTCCCCTAAAAATGAAACAATTGAAATAAAACCGGAAAAAATAGAAGATTCAACAAAGCAAGATAATCCTCAACCAGACACCAAAGAAACGAAAATGATGCTGACAAAGGAAGAGAAAAAATTAGTCCCCTGTAAATATTTTGTTCATGGGTTTTGTGCCAGGGGTAGACACTGTCGATATCTTCATGACAAATCTCTTAAAAAATCACTAATTCCTAACAGATTCAAACCAAAGATTAAAAAACAAAAAGATAATGAAACTACTAAGGATGAAACTAAAGAAGAGAATTTAAAAACTGAAGAGAAAAATGGACAAATTCAGCATTCTGACCCAAATACAATTAAGTTAATAAACAAGGTCATTGTCCAAAGACCACAAATAAACATTAAAGACGATAAAGACTTAAGACAACTAGAGATTAAAATGTTTCTAAAAAAGTTTCCAGAATCCAGAAAAATAAATGACGAAGTTGATGATGATGAAAAAGATAATAAAGAAACTAATGATGTTAAAACTGAAGTTGAAGCGGATCATAAGAATGATGAGAGTAGTGACAGCCAGTCAAAAACCACCAAAAGTGATTTTTATAAGTTCACTTTTACTCCATCTGATCCAGATTGGGTTAATATCATTAATTTGATTCAATATTTTTCATTTTTTAGTTGGGTATTTATCATTAGTTAGATGTTGCTAAATCAGTTTTGTATTTAAAATCAACAAAAGGCTTTCACCGTTAAGGACATCGAGATGATGATCGAATTTCCAGCTGACTATCCGCAAAGGGTAATTTTTAGTGAAATTAGAATTAATAATAATTATTATTATAACTATTGTAATTATAATTATGTTAATTTATCTTTTCAGACATTTTATATCACAGTAACTGGGAATTGTACAGTTCCGGACCCTGTTGAAAAGTGAGCTTTTTTCTTCAGCAAATCAACATAATAAGCTAATTAACATAATATATTCACAAATTAAATAAACTTTAATTTATTTGTTTATAAACAAAACTCGTCATTCAACCAATCATGAAATAAAATAACCAAATAGGACTCTAACAAAACTGATTAATGAACAAATAGCAACAACCCATCCCCATCACCCTCTGCCTAATTCAACTGACGGCCAGTTAGGAACATCGTCATCATCACCACCAGCAACACTGCCGTCAAATGTCGATCCTCTACAATTAAGGGTCTTTTTGAAATGGCTTGATAAGAATATTGAAGATCTCTTAACAAAAGCACTCGTTATGGTTGGCTTCTTTAGTTTGTTTATTGTTATTTTTATTAACTATTTACATAATGGTTATCATAATTATAATATTTTATTATAATTATCTCCCCAGTACAAACAAGACCTTCAGCTAGCAGCAGCAGGCATCCAGCTCATACCAGCCAATCAACTTCGAGAAACCTACAAAGGGGCAGTCTCATCTCAAAATCAACCGACCAATGAGAGGGCAGCTGTTGACATGAATCATCAAATTTTATATAAGAAAAAAACAGCATCAGCAGGGGACAATGTTGAAAACGTTACTACTAACAAAAATACTACCACTGCTACAACCTCAAACACTACTACAGATACTGCTACAGATACTGCTACAGATGCTGCTACAACCTTAGATGATACAAATGATAGTAATTCAGCGATATCTATCCAATTGCCCATAACTACCCCAAAAGACACTGAAATCCGCCTAAACGATCTCACCCTAACTAACATTGCAACATTAACATGCTCCACAATCAAGGTAACAGTCACCTGTACAAGATGTACCAATCAGAGTGATGCAACCTGTCAATCAAACTCACCAAAGAATATGATTGGCTGTCTGTTCTGCAAGCAGGAGGGGTTATA